CCATGGAAACCAGTACTTTTATACGAATAATACAATTTTGATATGATTTTATATAGTATACTTAATGACTATAATCCTTTACACATTTTTTCTCCAATTTTAGAGGGGGCGAAACCAAAAGAGTAGCTTAGTTTCCTGTGTCGTGCATTTCTATTCTCCGGGACAAGTCTGCCGCCATGTTCCGGAGAATAGGAACATTTGCTTGAAGAGATTCAAGTAACCAAACACTATCCAGGACTTTAGGTTGCAACCCCCTTGACCACCTCCGCCTCACCGGGGTAAAGCTTGTACACGTCCTGGACTTCGAGATAACCTCTTGAACCGTATAGAATTTTCGTATGCCCACCTGTCTCCCTGCTCTATTGTTGTGTAGATTCAGAATCGCTCGCTGTGTGGCATTTTTGCCTCGTTCGGCGGCGTCAACGAATTCTCGTGAAATAGCGATACCATACTGCACGTTGTCGGAACATCCCTGATAGTCGTAGGTGCGAACCTGAATCAGACAGCTCAGCCTCACTCAGCCGCTCGTCGTGGCGCCTGTGCTCGTCGACGATGATTAAGCATCACTCACCTGTGGATCGATGTTCAACATCGATTGATCGCATCCGCATCGCTCGTTCAGCCCTCGGGCACAGTCTCGCGTCACCCTGGAATCGAGGAAGTTCATGGAAGTACTATGGAGTGAACTGATGGCAGTACTCACCGATAAGCGACTCCTGCAGCTGAAACCGCATGGACGAACGCTGACTCCCGGGTGCCATCCCGTAGCATTACGTCACTAATTAATTCCAGAGTAGTGGGATCTATAAGGGTGCAGTTCCACCTAAACGAACGTAATTGATAGAGTTTAGGCAAGGTCTCTTCTGAGTGAAAGCCTACCTCCTCTTATTGAACTGGTACTGGCATTCGGCATAAGCATTCTGGGCGCCATATCGTACCGAATCCATCATATCCGGATTTTTTCGGCAGAACCTGTAAAGTAAGTTTCTTAAAACAATTTTAAGGTGTTGCTTGCACATAATCCTTCACTCTTGAAAGTTGAAAGAGGTTTCTATCGAGACTTATTTCTGGGGATAGCAGGATTCTGTGATTAAAGGATAAAGGATAAGCATAGCTTTCGCTACTTGGAGCATCCGTTTCTGGGATATCGTTCCATACAGCAATTACGCGGCAGCTGACCGTGCAGGATCAGTCTGGTCTTGAATCCCGCCCAGACGAATGTTTGTACCATTGCCCGGAGACTAGAAGGCCTGTTTATTAACTGAGCAGGACTTCCATTCCGCCTTTCTAACAGCTAGATAACCCTAAAAATTTCTTCAAAATCCCCTGGATAGACGAGAGAACCCAATATAGGCCTTGTCAGGGGTTCATATTTCTTTCGGGAGACAAGTTTCTCACCAATTGCACCCAAGGAAGAAAGTCCGAAAAAAACGCTTCAGAAAAAATGTTCACTGACGAAAAACTTTGTCTTGTCCTTCGTGAATTTTAGTCCGAAATGACGTTGGAGGAACGTCTAGAAACTCACCGAATCTGCTTCTTTGTCAATCCTTTCATATTCTTACATGAGTAGGCGATTCTGGATCGGTCGAGGCGGTTGCCCGCTAGCCCGAGAGCCCTGAATTGCAGAATCATCAAGATAAAACATATATGGCAGCGGAGCGGAAAAACCATCTCCTCCTTTATCTGAGGGTGCGGCGGGAGAGGTTGAGACTACGCAGATGGAATAAAAGGAAGCAGGCGTCAGCTTGTCTTCTCTAACTCTGGAAGACGTCAAATGATCACAACTGGTGAAAAACAGGATGGCACCGCGCCAAGTCAGCCTACTGGAATGCCCCTAGGTTCACAGCCGAGAGACGTGCCTACTACAGGATACTATCAAGGGCTCCAAGAAAAAAGATTGTCCCTTTCCGATTGAAGGAAGCAAAGTCTAGCTTTTCTTGAAGGAAGAACCCGCGATTACTCGCCATCTCAGATGGTGGATTAGGGGGTTCCATATAGACGACAAGGGGTTGAGTAACTCGACTGTGAACAAAAAAAAGCACAAAAAACATGCCACCTGCCCTAGATAGAACCCCATTTCGATCCCAGTTTGTACGTGCCCAATCAACTCTATCTCCAAAACTACGCCCTCATATGCACGGCTGATTCACCGATAAGATTTCTACGATCGTACAAGTGGCGATTATCATGCTTTTTCGTCCTGCAATCTCATTTTCCACTGGAAGTCGGTCATTAGGGGCGGAGTCTGGAGGCGGAGTCACTGGAAAAAAGGAGGAGCCACTGAACCTATATTGCGCTACAGCGCCCTCCATAGAATTTTTTTGCCGCAAAACCGGTACAAGGTGTTCGTCGCGGACCACTCTAACCTCCTGACGCCATATTTTCAACTTCGATACCTGATCGCGGACCGGACCTTCGAGGGACGCTTTCAACAGCAGCACTCGGTAGTCAAGGCGTGCTATATCGCTGATAAAAAGGTGCTCAATACAATCTCCACTACGTACCTCCTCTACTACGACCTCCTCACACCTACTTGGGAATCACCAACAATGACTTGGGCCTGCCACGCAGTGGTGTATAGCTTCTTCTAATACTTCGAAACGCACAAGGCTTCTCAGCATATTGTCTTGCAGGTACCCAAATGTGAAGGGAATTCAACACTGAAACTTTTTTAATTCTAGTTTGCGCAGATTTTGCTGCGGACCAGGTCAATGCCGAATTTTTCGTGTATTCCTGTGAGAACTGCGCGGTATAAGCCGCACCCGCATTGTAGGGCGCCGCTTCCACTTCTACGAAGCATTTTTTGTGTTTTTGGGAGTGGAACCATCACCAACATATAGATAATCACCACATATATAACAAGTCGCTTAGCTGTTTGTTGTTGGTGTAAGTTTGTAGTTTGTTTGTTTGTAAGTTTGTTTGTTTGTAAGTTTGTTTGTTTGTAAGTTTGTTTGTCTGTCCGGAAATTCGGTTCGACCTGAAGAACGACTTGGAGAGGTCGGGTCAAGGTGGGGATGGGTAGAGCATGGGACAAGAAATAAAAGCACACTTGACCTATGCGAAGCCCCGCCCACAGTGGGCGGGGCACTCGCTGAAATTTTGGGGTTCCACAGAAAAATGTTCATAATTCGCTTCCGGAGCAGCCTAAGATGGGGAAAAAAGGGAATAAGGTTAGTAAGGAGTCGCCAGACTAACTGTGGCAGACACATCCAAAATGGGCGGGGCGTACTCAAGGTGGGCGGTGCTTCGCATAAAACTCAGTAACTCGGTTCGCGAGAGTGTTCAGAAGCCGCAAAAAGCTCAGTGCAGAATGTAAATATCTGGCGAGTATTGGGCATGCAAAATGTGTTGAGATCCGCCCACAGTGGGCGGAGCTTGCCCTAAACCGCAGGATACTCATTTTAAAAGTTTGTAGCTCGGTTCCAGAGCACTGCAAAGACCGGAAAAACGTGCGTCAAGGTCGGCAAAGGTTCGCCGGTGAGGACTGTGGGGCAAAAACATTGTGGGCGGAGCCTGCTCCGAGGTGGGCGGAGCCAGACAAAAGGTCTTGTAAAACGCTTCCAGAGCACTCCGAAGACCGGAATAAAGTGAATTCAGGTCAGCAAGGGGTCGCCGATTAAGAAATGTGGGGTATACATATTGTGGGCGGGGCCAGCCCGAGGTTGGGCGGAGCCAGACGAAAATTCTCTAAAACTGTCCCAGAGCACTTCAAAGACCGGAAGAAAACGTGGATTAAGGTCAGCAGAGGGTCGCCGGTGAGGACTGTGGGGCACAAAAATTGGGGCGGAGCCTGTTTCGAGGTGGGCGGAGCCAGACAAAAACTCTGCAGAAACGCGCTTCAGACACTTCAGAACAACCGGAAAAAAAGGCGGATTAAGTGTGTGTCAGACGGGTCGCCGGTGAAGAGCGAGGGCACAAAAATTGCCGCGGGTTGCCTCTGAGGTGGGCGAGTCAGACGAAGAATCTGTAAAATAGCTCAAGAGTACTTCAGACACCGGAGAAAAGTGGAGTACAGAACAAAAGGCGGATATCAGTTGAGTCTAGAAATATGTGAGAGAAGGTACGCGCGGCGAAGCCGCGCCCGCCCGGCGCAGCCGGGCCGTATCAGAAGGAGCCGCGCCGGCGTCAGCCGGCGAGGCGACTGGTACTACATATAATCCACTCCTGTGTAGGGCCTCACCTTTTTACTGAAAGGCGCCTTTCAGTGTGTTCTTAGTATAGTGTTAGTGCGTCTTGGCCTCAATATCAAATGTTTTAAGAGGCAATTATATGATAATGTATATGGAAAAACTGATTCATAAAAAGCTGCTACTGTGTTAGAAATTCATGCGCTCGCTTTTGTCGCCACCATGGGAACAGAAGTGCCGATTCCCAAAGATGATCGTTTTCATCTTGTCAGGGACAAGGACAGAATTAATTGATCCACTAGCAGACTTCGTAGCACAAGAACAATAAAACACTTATTATCATTACTGTTGGCCTTTCGTAACGTTATGATAGCTGTTGATTGGCATAACGCTTGGCCTTTAGGCCTATGTCATACTTGGCGTGGCTCCACATAACGTTGCGAGCGTCCGACATCGTCGCGTACGGCGAAAGTATGGATATACAATCTAGCCGTTCTACCAGCGTCTCCCGGGGTTTCGCCAGCCGTCCACGAGCGTCCACAGCGCTCTTCGAGGCCTGGAAGATAGAAATCATCGTAGCGTATTACCAGCAGCGGACTAGCGGCACCGAGGTCTTCCCGACGGGTCAGGCAAAGGAGAGTATGGCGCGATAGGAGGATAGCAGGAGAGCTGGTACCTGTCGCGCCATACTCTCTACCAGTAGTCTGCCTACCCTCCATCTCCGCATACTCTACCAGCTGTTTGCTACTCTCCCATCGCGCCGTGCTCTCCTCTCCCAGACGCTGGGAGACGCTGGTGCACGCTCGGAGAAGCTAGATCGATATCTATACTTTCCCAGTCGCTGACTCTGCCGGACGCTCGAAACGCTAGTAGACGTTCGAAGGGCTAGTGAACGCTGAACGTATGAACGCAATCTTATGAGTTCCAGTGCAAAAGTTATGCTGCCCGAATCCTAGACTACGAGATCGGACTCAAGCAGGCAACATACCTATTCCCCCTCACCCATTAGTGTAAATGCCGATTAAAGGTTAAAAAAACAGTATCTATGCAGCTTTTCCACCCATCAGTTGCTAGAAAAAAACAATAAAGAATAAAAGAAATGAGAGTAAATGAACATTTATAGCAGAGCTGTAACTGAACTCACAGCCAGTGAATGCTGGCACAGTGTTGGACGAACAGGAAACAAAGCAGAAGTGTGTTCCAGAATCGCATTTCAGTCTTGTCACAGAATCATAGCGTTAACGACGAATCGCTTTAGTGAGCAACACTCGAAGAAGACACTCGTAAAACACCCGACTATAAATATGGAAATTGAAAAAATTGGTATGAGAAGGCCTTCATCAAGCCGCTACGAAGGACTCATTACGTTGGAATAATGAAACGATTACCAAGCAAATACGAATGCAAAAACAGGCGAATGGATAGGAAGAAAAGTGCATTTCGTTGTGTGGATAAACAGCTTAGGTTTGCGCCGATGCTGACCCGGATAAAATCACCGTGCTCGCGGAACGCCGGAGCCTCTTGGAAGGTCAGACGACACGACGGTGGGTTGGCCCATAGGGGCGAAAGAAATGCTTAAGACTTTTATCAATTTCAGGCGATGTCACGGCATTGATTGGAAACGTTTCTTCAGCAGAAAAATTAGCAAAGCAAAAACCCGTGTGGAGGCTCATAGTGCCAGAACCCTATCACCTCACCGCTTCATTTACGGCAGATACCCGCAAGCAAGCCGTGATTATAATTTGCAATAAAAATAGAATAATATAAAATGAAAATGTAATTCTTAAGAAATTCTTTGCATTTGTTCAAAGCGTGAAAAAATTTTTAAGTAACTTTGAAGTTGATTATTTATTATTTTTTGTCGGATTTATTAGCATGGGCTATAAAGAAGTAGCTCAGTTTCCGCTTTTCGACTACGTGCCCTTAGAGCAGAAAAGTTATTACAAAGTTTTTTAAAGTTCGCGAGCTTTTTTACCCACTTGCTTTTACCCATCTGGCTTCGGAATCAAAACAAAAATAAACAATGAAAGTTCAGCTCGGCTTGGGAGGGGCATTTTGCGCTTTCAGTACTTTCCATTGACGCAGTGATGTCGAGCGATCACATAGGAATTTGTGAAATGTTGTGAAGCCATGAAGGGATACCAGAAGAAGTTTGTAGAAACTACTTGTCAACCCTCATAGAGGGAAGTCTATCACTGCTTTGAAATAGGGGTAAGCTATGGAGTTAGCAAAATTACAAAATTCCCCCCCTAAGCCGATACTCTGCAATTAACTGTCAGTGTGAGACGAGGAAGTCTCTTTAGTCGGTAAGTGTACTGGGTTCTGCGTGAGCCTCAAAAAAATCAAATTACAGGAAATCTTTGAAAGCCAATATGTGAAGCCAGCCAGAAGTCCTGATTGCCCTCCAAATTAGAAAAAAAAAAAACTGGAAAAGTGTCGAAAGTTACCCAGTGAGAGAATGAGCTATATCCTTTTTTGTCTAATGTTAGACAGAAAATTCTTTTTCGTTGCTTTATTGTCCACTATCGGGACGGGATTCCACTTGAATGCCGAACAGCATACTCCAGAACTTTCAGAAGATTGTAGAATAATGACCATATTGATCAATCATTTCTGTACAAGCTGCAAAAGTGGGCCGACATAAAAAATGACAGTAAATTCAAAAAAAATGTATCAAGGTCCAGTCTCTCAGTGGTTGTTCATACGGAAAAAGGCAGGTGAGGGCGGGCTATAAGCTCGAATGTGTGAGAGCTAAGTCACAGATTCCCACTGGACACAGCAAGTTACCCGAACAAGGAACGATTCGCAGGCAGGAACAGCGCTAGGATAAATAGAAATTGCAGCGCACAGAAGCCGAGTGTCTCGCCCCATGCTCTGAAGCTTCCTCTGGATATTGAAAAAATTGAAAAAAAACCGTGGAAGAAGATTCAAGAGGCAAAATGGCAATCGAAGATGTGTTTCGAGCAATGCGTTTGTCATCGTCGCATTGCTTCTCGGATACGGTAGCAGAGGTGACAGCTGACGAGCCACGAAGGCGCTGAGTGGGAAAAACGCGGCACGCGCTCGCACGACTACAGTAATTTATCATTCGAGCGATGTCCGAGGGAAATGCGACCTGCTGAGTAAAAGCTGAACGAGCTCGTTCATGATAAGCAGGGTAATTTGTAAATACAGAAGAAAATGGTGGTTGGTAAAGTAGAAGAAAAATCGCTGTTTAATCCTATTACATCGGTGCATTTCTTCTCTGAAATTCAGTAATATTGTTTTTTCCAAAAATATGTTATCATATCTGTCTATATATGATGGTACGGCTATGCCCCCCCCCTGCAAAGAGTGACACGGTCCATAAGACCAGTTTTCGATTAGAAGTGCCCTGAAAGCGGTCCAGGGGACGTCCCAAACACAGCTGGCTCGATACGCTGCAAACGCCCTCAAAAATACCTGGAATCCACACCGACGAGACAGGGGAGGTGGCGTCAATCATATCAGAAGTGCCGTTCCGCGGAGTACTACGTATTTTGCAGGTTCACAAGAGTTTGCAAATCTCTACGTCGATGGGAACTACTAAAATGCCCCTCCTTCTCTGAACCGAACAGTAAGCTTAGCTTTATGCAGCAGCAGGGCACAGCATTAGTTGGGGATTTTGTTCAAGCCTGTACGACCCTACCCCTTTTTTGGGAGTTGGTACGACTCCCCCAGCCCTCTGTCCTTCCTCATCGAATCGAGCCGTCGAGCGGGGGGGGGGGCATATAGTACTTTTACCAAAAATTTTGCTGTCGAGCGGGGGGGCATATAGTACGTGAAACAGGAAAATCACCAAAAGTCAACCGCCACTCCCACAACGCCAAAACGTAAATACGACCCCTCCCCTCCCAAAAATGACCAAATACGACCCCCCCCCCCCTCTTACACCACGAAGCGAGAAAAATCAACTATCAAAATAAATTTTCTCCCAACCCAAATACGAGCCCCCTATTGGGGATTCCCCAACAACGATGTGCCCTGTGCAGCAGCCAGCGACTAAGCTTCAGACGGGTGCTTCCATTGATCTCGGCGACGGACTTCTTCAAAACGACTGGAAAGAAATGAATGATAAAAATTGACTAGGGCCAGTATTCCCAGATAGAGCAAATGAGGGAATGTCCTGCTTTTCCCCACTCATTCTCTCCTGTTTATATGCACAGTCTAGACAGAGAGGCTTATCTCCTCCATCTGAATGATGTGATCATTAATCAAGTGAAGCAGAGAAGTTTCTCTGTCTACACGATGTTCGGGAACATACGTGCTCTTATTTCATAACAATGTAGGAACACATGTTTCTGTCCAGGAAAAACGTCAACGAACGGGTGTGGTAAAACAGATTACGGTGATTGGAGGCAGTAATTCTTGCGGGAAGTACTGATGACCCCAATTACATAGAACGAGTATTTCAATGGCTCCTCGTGCAACCGTAAAAAGGGAGCCCCCTGTATGTAAGGGAGCGAGCTCTGGGTGGTGAACCTACATAACTCCTTATCCCTGAGACGGAGTAGGCGTGGCTTTTGAGCAGCATAGACGGGTTTCTCGTGGGATACTTTAATTTGAAACAACTGCTATCTTGTTCTGTGTTAGATGTAGACATGATTACGACTGCTCCAAAATGACAATATCTCACGAAAACCTGGGCCGCCGCCATTTTAAAATCAAGTACGCAGCCACGCCTACCCGATCTCAGGGATTTCGAGCATACATACAGGGGGAGGGCAAAAAAAAGACACTTTGGCCGAGTCACGTATCGTAAAGTTACGAGTACCAGGGCGGAAGATACCCAAGATGCTCCTCGATAAGCAGGAGCAGCTTCTTGTCCATCACATTCATTTACAGAAAAAATATGAAGCCATCTCTTCGCAGCGCGGATTGGGAGGGAATTCACGTCACCTCCAATCAGGAAGCTTCTTGTATGGAGTCACCCATGGACAGCTACCTGGGGACCGGCACTCTTGATCCGGGAGACCTCCAACATCGAGCAGCTCCTGATCTGGAAGAGCTGTCGTCGGAGCGGCAACATCGAGCAGCTCCGACAACGTCGCTAAGGTTCAGGATATCATATTCACCGCAGTCGTCAAGGCACGGGTTGATGGTATGGACGTTCCTGGATGGGGAGACCGATATTTTCTTCGTGGCTCCCGGACTGTAAGTGACCGCTGACTGTTACATCGAACAGCTCGAGGAGAATATCCTGCCTTCATGTCGTCGCCCGTACCATCTTGGAAACTTCGTACTGCTACAGGATTGGGTGCCAGCACATGGAATCGAAGGGCGTTGGAAAAACTCTCGCCTACTTGGAATGGAAGGGCGTTGAGTACCTGAAGAAGATGGAATATCCAAGTGTCCTATAACCCCATCAATTACCGTGTTCGAGAGAAGTTCGGAGCTTTGAAGGATAATTTTATGGGTCTACCCAGGAGGCATCGGTAAGGATCAATGAAAACTCGCTAAGTGCCCTCACTAAGACGAACTGCGCCAAAAAATGAAAGAATAGTGATATGTAGCCAGATAAAAATGATAAGCGGAAAAATTGGCTTGTATGAGTCGAAGTTGAAATGATAGAAAAAGAATGGACGGAGTGCAAGCAAGCGACGAGCATCGTTGGCCGATTTAGTGGGGCGTGGTGCCGTTGGCGTTTGCTGTTCCTCTGGAGAGCCGAGCAGGGGGGCAATAAATGGTCCCAGCTCGACTGGCCCAGTTGATTTACGGCGTGCCGTTTACAAGCGCCATTGTTTTTGAAACTCGAAGCCGTGCAAATCATTAGGTCACAGCAAACACCCATCACCGAGTGGCCTGAAGTACCAGGCCAAACCTCCGGGGACGTTTCCGGAGGTAAAAAAGCTTCGTGGTAAAAAAACGCTGCTCTTAAAAAAACACTTATTTTTCAACTTTCAGAGATCGAGCTGCGGCGTTGCGCAGCAGTTATCATAATGGAACAACTGCAAAATATTTATTTTCTCAACATAGAAAGATCTTCGTTAATAAATATCGAATAACTAATATCGAGCAAATGCGACCGTTCATAAGATGAATCAATAAATCAATAAATAGCTAGGAAAGAATACTGAAAGACCAAAGAGCATATCACAATGAAGACTGAAAGACTAGAAACACCGCTGAACATGAGGAAAGCGTTTCAATCTAGATCAGAATCGTCGGGCATCAAAATCAGTCCTGTTCCAGGCTGGTAGCACCCTGGAACGGTGAAATTCCAAAAATATCAATTACACTACCAAAAGCTCCTCCGAACCTTCGTGTCCTCGGCCTCCACTGGGTGGAACATCCGACGGATTGTTGAAAAGCCGCTCAAGTCGCCGTTGAGCAGGACCGCGATTACCAGCACCCGGAGAGTTCCGATCGAGTTCAGCTGGGGGCTGGAAAGAGGCCATTTACGAGATTCCATTAGTCAAGATAGCCCTAAATGCCACCTACCTGGTCCTTTTTCTCATATGTACCAAACAGTGAATCACGTCGATTCTCCAGCGCCCGGATGGTTCCCTTTGTGAGGGTAACACGTCGTCGACTGCCTCGCGTTGAAAATTCGGCGCCATCTTGTGCTGCCTCGCTGGAGAGGGCAAAGAACCTGCAAATCACTGCTTGTCACTCGACAGATGTGTGTCCGAGGGAAGCCTGGTTGGTCCTGGAACTTTCATCGACCCGTTACGGGTACTGTAACGCACCTTTTCTTGAACGCAGCATCCAGTGTCTCTGTTTTGCGCTTCATCAGTGAGATCCGTGATGATTCCAAGTTCTGCACCACTCGGCGGCGTCCGATCTGTTCTCCCTGCAAAGTAGGAGATAACCCTGGTACCGTCCTATCGGAATCCTAACTCCACGTCGCGAGGAGAGTTGGGGGAGAATAGACAGACGGCCCATCAATTTAGGCAAATCATTTCAGCCCCCAAGGTAGCCAGCTGATTTTCACTCTGATTTTTACTACCCTGCCAAAACTATTAAAAAGACGGAAGTTAAGGAGACCCAGTAGCTGGTAGACTGGTGGACAGACTGTCATCATAAACCGCTTGCCGGAAAGTGCCCCACCTACCCTCTGCCAGATACTGAGGACAGCTTACCATCTGGCCGAGCTCTCGTGACTCGTCCACTCCACGAATCGCCTGTAACTCTCGAGCGATTTCGACCGCATTCTGCACGACCAGCTCGTCTTCACTCAGCTTTCCCACTGTTTTTCGGAAGCAGAACAATTCCGTTGAGGCGATAATGTGAGCCAATGTGCCAAAACGATGGCACAACATTGCGATGAACTGAAAAAATCTTCATAGTTGGAAAATTAGAAGTTCTATGTATTCCCTTCTGTTGCGTTTGGGTTATTGTAGGATCAAAAGAGGGGAAAGTAATGAGGAACTTGTTAGGCAGCGTTCAGACTTCGCGACGGCAGCGCTTCGGTCGCGCATTCGACGCGATCGATGCAGTCGAAAGCATGCGCATCGATCGCGCCGAACGAGCGCTGCTGTCGCGAAGTATGAAGCGGCTCCTTGCGTTGCAATGGAAAGCCTTGTGCCAGTTTTGCGTCAGAACTTTGCAAGGAGGCACGCTGAAACGTATAAGGTTGCAGACTGGGGTAGACGGACAAGAGAATCGTAATTTGCCGCTCCGCCGCGCGCGGCGATAGGCGCGGTGTTTACTTCACTCGTGTTAACCTCTTAACTCGTGTTAACCTGTCCATTAGAGCACCGGACTTCATGTAGACCCCGTCATCGTAGACATTCATGATATTTCCGGTTCTGAATTGCCTGTTGTCGCCATCTACTACCTAAAGCTCGTCATTTGCTGGCGCGACGCGGCGCCCACCAGCGTGGCGAATTATGGTTCTCTTGTCACATACCCGCAGGCTGGTGGGTTCACAATCATGTCTCATCCTACCTGCAAGTTCCTGTCATCTACCCTGCAAACCCCTGTCAGTACCTGTAGACTCCTGTCAAGCTGGCGAAATAGTACTAGCATCATTACTAGCATCATTGGAAGCCATTTTTAGTTTTTGTCCAAAAAAATAAGAATCAATTTTAGGCATTCCGATATAGAAATTCATTTTAAGAATCTTGGCCGGTCGTTTTGACAAGTTTGACAGGAGTTTACAGGGGACACGACAAATGATAAGAAGTGTTGACAAGGCTGCCCGTTGTTCACAGCTATACAGCTTTACAGGAGATGGTATGCTGACGAAGCGTTTACAGGTGTGCTCCTCCCCCCCCCCGCCCCTGTCGTATTTCTCGTCTGCGTGCTCTCTCACTACTTTTTGTCTAGTATATCGCCTAAAATCTCGGCGGGTCAGGTGGAAATGGGACACTTCAAGAACTTTTGGTTGAAATTTTGATCCCCAGCAGTTCGATTTCCAGAACAAAATATGACATTCGTTCTGCAGCAGAAGCATTCGCGTAGGCGAAAAAGGCGTCGGCCTCAAAACAAGTCAGACCACAAGTTAGAGATTTGTTTTCGGTGGTACTTTTGTACTTTTAACATCTCAGATGTGGATGTGCTCCCGTTACAGGCGCGTGTTCTCTTCTAGCCCACCGGTTACTAGACATCTGTCAACGGATGCTCTCTCGCTTCGTGGGTCCAAGAGTATTTTCGTCGCATCTTCTGGTCCGCATTCAGAGGGAAGGAAATAAGAAAGAGAATGACAGAAGAAAGGAAGAAAAAAAAGGAAGGAGGAAGGAAGGAGAAGGAAGGCTCCGCGGTTGACAGATATCCGGAGACCCGCTGTAGAGTACGGTATCAGCCGCAAATATTCGGAATCTCTCACCTGGATAATGAGGATGCTCATGAAGAAAATGAGAAAGACGAAGCCAAGCGGTTCCAATTGCAGTCGTGTCACCACCCAGATCTCCTGAACAGTTGTTTAAAGACATTTCGCCAACAGTCATGCGGGCCAAATTGCACCACAACCAACTTCACACCAGATCCAATATAAATTCATGAATCTCTCCGAAGAACAGGGCGTGTACTGGACCGCGACCGCTGCCATTTCCGCCAATAATGTCATTCTGTGTCCACAACAGTTGGCGGGAAGGCCTGCCCAGGCTGCGCGCCAGTTCAAGCCCCTTCACATGCCCTATCGTTCGCAGTGATCATAGCTGTAGAAGTGCTATAGCTTGTCGAATCAACGAGTTAGAAAGTACTCTGCTAGCTTCTGCGTGTCGTCTGAACGCACGTGTCGACGTGATGCACCACCACCCCCCCCTGCCCCGTCCCTCCTCGGAAAACGCGTTTTACACAGATAATAAGAACGCTCAGACTCAGCATTCCACATCAAGGTTCACCTCCTTAGTGTCACCATGACAAGGTCGAATAGTGTGATTGTATTTGGGTCCAATAGGCCATTCGATATGGAGGCAATCTTTTTGTAATTGTAGCACCAGAATGACAATGATGAAGACGACATTTACCATGAAGAATGACGACACCACCTTGAAATGAGAGGCATTTCAGGAAGTAAGAACAAATGGGCTAAATTCTGTGACTAACCTTATTTCTGAGCTCAACCAGTGCCGCTCGGACTCTTTCCTGTTCTTTTGGGTCAACTGTCAAGGGCGACAAGTACTTCTCAATGACATCCATCCAGAAGTGTTCCTCCTCTTGATCAAGAACTTCTGATTCGGCTCTAAAAGCGCTCATCCATTGAAACAAGGAAAACAGGAAGAGTTTTATTCAAGGCGCCAAAAACCGAGTTCAGCTCGTTCTGCATTCTCTGAGTTCTTGCGAAATCATGAACCAGCAGTTCAAGTTCAAGTGGGCTCGCTAGAACTGGGAAGTCCAAAGACGTCCACAAGCCTACCACCTTACCTTCTCAGCGCCTTGTCGTGAAGCCAACTTCGATGCCTTACGAGTTTCGCACGAGGTATCTGGTTTAGAAGTTCTGGATCATGATCTTCTTCAACCTAAACACTCCACTCTTCCGTCCAAAGCACATACTTGGCCCATTTGTGCAGGCGATCACTTACCTGTTCGCCTTCTTCTATTCCCTCTGATTTCTCGGCGACTGCACCTCCGCCCGAGACGATCGATGCTCTGTAAAGATAGGTATCAGAACACAGTCCTCCCCATCAGAACAAGCTCAAGGAACGCCAGCTAAAGGAACACAGTTCTCTTTGTGGACGTAGCTGCGGCTCACAAAAACACCGGGATACAGAAAATAGGGAGAATTCAGGAACAAGATAGGCAGGATGGGGAGTGGGGAGGGGAGAGATTGGGTGGCTCCAGAGGAGAAAATTTTGAAAGAGCATGGTATCTTGAAAATTTTTCTTCCTAACGGCAGCACATGCCCTGTTCACTGTTTCCCCTCCGAGCCCCCGGCGGGTGTGGAGCGTTAGATCCGAGTTGCGGCGAGTGCGGCGAAATAGGCGTTTGCACGCGGGGTGAAGTAAGATGCGTTCGCACCAGGACCCAACCCACCCAACGAAGCAGCGCGCATTACCTATAATAAATAAACCTGATACCTTCGTGCCATGCCAGGCTGCTGTCTCCTCTCGATTCGTTCCAGCTTCTTATTGATTTCGTTCAATTTCTCATTAAGTCGCCAGATCTGAATGCTCATAATGCTAACAGTTATAATGATAAGATGAAAGGGATGGTTACTTTCAAACCGATCAGGTCACGTTCTGGTAAGCTCTCAAAATCTGGTCACATGGGCCCTCACCTGTGGCGATGACTCTAGCTGATCGGGCTTAAGACAGCATAGTAGACGACAAGCACTTCCACAGCCAATTGACCAATCGCCATCAACCTGCAAATCACGGGCTTGGCGCAGTTCGGCGACGGGGGGGAGACATTTGCACTTTCTTTGCTTCACTAGTTCCGGTTTACAAGTCTCACTCTGGTGAAACCTGTGAACTCTTGTGAAGCTGGAGCAAGCTCGTCAAGCCATCTAAAACCTGTCAACTCGAGAAGAGGCTGTCTAGATGGGTCGACACGTCGATGGGAAGTATCAAAAGTGCAAAATGCCACCCGGTCGCAGAACTGCGCCCACGGGCTTTTTAAAGGGACTCAAGATGAGCATCCAAACCTGTACCTGGCCATCGGTGCCGTTATTCATCAGATCCAGATGATGTCCTTTCTGTGGCTTTGCCAGATCGTTCTTCTCCTCCGGCCTAGGGTCTTCTCGTGTTCCCCATGTTACCTGCAAATCAGATTCCAAACGGCAGATGAAGCTCAAGCATGAAATAAATGTTACCGTATTCAGATTACAAATGGAATAGATCGGCAGCAGCATGTACATACAAGGAATAGCTAGGAAATACAGTAATCCTGGGATGATGCACGTAAATTCCAATGGATGCAGGATCGCAGCCGTCAGAAAACTGAAACACTCATCTTATTCAAAGAAAAAGCCTAATGCGCCACATCTGTCCAAGGCTGAGGTTTAATTTTTTTCAGTTTTTTTTTAGTTTTTTTTCGGGGGGAGGGCGCAGTGGACTAGCCGATCCTGCCCATGCGATCACTGTGGAATGCGAATTATTGCTTATTCTCCTGTGACCTGTTTGTTAAAAAACTCATAAAGATGTACCTTCCAAACACAGAGAACAGGAAAATTGAATGCGGGGATAGGATTCCGTCTTTCTGAATCTGGAGCGAGGTTCCGACGAACACTGCTGTCATCAGCATTGCGAATAGAGCTCCAATGATTTGAGCAAATAGTAGCTAAACAAAGTAATACATTCACCCTATGTCGAATAATTCCTCGACGAACATCGCCGTGACATACATGACGACTCGCTAGGAAATATGATGTGTGGATTACATTGTCATAAGTTCAGGATAACGGATGAAATCTGCGCGTAGAGTGAAGGGCTCAGGTCCTGTGGACGCACACAATGGCCTTCACTGGATGCTTAGCCAGCACCGTCGCCGCGGCCTAGGGAAGACGGGCAAGACAATTGTAATCTGTCGCGTTTTCGCGCACGGCATGCCTTGCGGCAACGCGCCGCAAATTTTCAATGGGCACCGGCGTGTTCGATTGAGTCTGCGAATGCCTGATGAATTCAAGCAGAGATAGGACCCCAGGACGGGCGAAATCAAACCTTCCTCCCCCTTTAGTGTTGTTATCCCAACGGCCAAGTAGGACATTCTCATACCTCGGGTGCGGCGTCGCCCGCCACGCCCACCAGTGCGGCATTTTACGATTGTCTTGTCACATTGGGCTAAGCCGTAGATGAAGTGTGAAATCTGCGTCGCCGCTCGTTTTTCCGCGTCACGCCGGAGTTTCTTTCCTCCTACCTGTACGCGCTAGCGCAGCACAAGAGTCCGGATCAGCGGTGAAATGTTCATCAGCCCGGCCTATACAACCAGTATAACAAGTGCTGACGGGGGGGGGGCGGGCGTCTGAATCTCGCGCAATTGAACGCAGAGGCCACACCACACCCATTGTGTGCGTTCACGGGAGCGACATTCAATTTTACGCGCACCTTTGGGATACTGTATACACCTCTCGTCCTAAACTTGTAATCGGATTACCTACCAAACAATGGGGGCGTATGAAGGGTTCTTTGCCGGTCGCATCACATGAACAAACCTTCCGCGCAGTTCTGCACACCGGGAGTCATCATTCACGAAAAGCTGCACAGTTCATAAGCGCGTACCTAGATCCACATCGCTCTACGCTGTCTTGCAGTTATATGACTCGTAATTTTTGTAATGTGCGCTCATTCGGTACGTTTGAGTAAATTGGTTACCCCCACTGTTTTTCGGGTTTGGCTGTCAAACAGACGATGCAAAAGGTGACGACAGGTATAGAAATAATCAACAGACTCCAACCGGTGTCGATATTGAAAGAGATTGAAATCGCTCCGACCACCATCAAAAAGATCGTGCCCGGTCCCAGGATCGACGATATTAACATTACCGTTTGATAGATGATATACCTATGTAAAAGGAGTTTTAATGTGGGTTTTTGAAAAGAAAAGACAAACCCACCAGATGGAGATGCTCTCATTCACTCGAACGACGTTCTTGTAGTCCTTCAACAAATCGATAATGTTTGCAATAGTGGACGGAATCCATCGTCTTCGCTGATTGAAGAACTCGTTGAAGCCTTCTGGAGCAAACGTGAGCGCGTCAGATGCCGCGCAGTACTCTACCCTTAATTCGGACGATTAAGCTGTGATTTTACCAGTGGAACTGATCAGAGAGAGTACCTGTAGCCCCTCTGAAGAAGAAGGGTACACAGCCATCTGTCTTCTCCCTGATCATACTGAATATAGTCCAATGGTTCTTCTGACTTTGATGCGTATCTGCAAACACCGTAATAAGTATACCGTAATATCAAACGATTACCGTACCCACCTTCTCGTTACATTGTCGTCCATCAAAGCGTAGCTTCTGAAGAGGGAGAAACAACCTGGCGAACACATCACACATCCGATCATGTGTTCGGTGGCCTTCTGAAGCCAATGACCGATGGCATATTCAAACTTCTGATACCACACCTGAACAGATAATTCAATTATCAATGTGGAGAAATTGAAAATGAATTTGGACGCTTTTTTCAGTATTTGGGCAGCGGCATGTTAGCACACGCATAGCCTGAGAAGCGATTGAAATAGAATCCCACAGAGGCCAACTAAACCAGCTCGCCATCTGGGATCTGCTCGCTGGAATCACCAATGTGGGACTGGTAAAGCGTGGAACTATGTATAGACTTACTGATCCTCAGATGATTTTCCAAACATTCAACTGCCAGTGGAACGCATGATGAAGATGGAATGCATGGCGTATAGCATGTCTTATCAGCGATGGTGAACTGGGACGCCAAATGTGTTTTCCTTGTCGCCTTCTTTCGGGGCACACTCCAAGCCCCACAGGAGCGTATTTGTGTGGGCGGAGTCCCTTATCCTGTTCTGCCCTTCTCATTGGTCCCTCTCTCACATATTCATCGTAGAGAGCGCACCAGTAAGGAAGAAAAGGTTGGTCTCTCTGTCTCTTTGCTCACACCACCAACCACCGTGGAATGAGAATTGTAATTCTGGGGGATTTCAGACTGGTCTAGTTTAGGATATGGCCTAAAATGGTGGATCCGTCTGAATTCCAGAGTCCAAATGTGCACACTGCCTGAAGTGTAGCCTATTTGCATCCCAAGAACAAGGCGCAGGCGCATCCCAATCAAAGAACACATCCCAGCCAGAGACGTATTGAGGCAAATCCCTATCCGCGTTAGACATCTTCAGGACATCAGGGGGCAGAAGACACGGCATCCGCAGTGCCCAAAAAAGCCCATAACTATCGCCTAAAGTTAGTATTTTTCTGGCTGTTCTTGCCTATACCTGGCGGAATATTCGAAAGATTTACTCGAAGACTTATTCCACGTCAATCGCTGGAATGGATTGCACCAAGGACTCTCCCAAACGTGCCCCTCTTCATCGAGCTAGAACGGAGGAACATACTCGTGAAGAATGTGGTGGCAGGCCGGGTTACGCCCGTACGACCAATAAGGAAAACTATTTCATTATGACAATAAGCAGAAGCTTCGTGTTATGATAACTGCAGTTTCGCCGCAGTTCGCGCTCCGAAAGTTACTACAAGAATGGGCAAAAATCGAACCAGAAGTCGAACTCGCACCTCACCCAGGCCCTGGTGGCGTAACGGATAGCGCACTCGCCCGGAAAGCGTGAGGTGCGGGTTCGACTCCCGCCTGGGGCACGACTTTTGCCCATAACTCAGCATTCTTGTGATAACAATAAGCAAAATTCCTAAAATGTAGTGAAGTGGAACTTACCATAAGTCCAGAGCCTCTTGGATGGATTCGGCCGCATGCGGCTCCGAGCCTCTTATTCTTTTTCATCAAGTCCACCAGCAGGTTCACACATTGTGGTGGTAAAGTCGACATCACCATCAAGCGTTAGAATGAAGGTATTCTCGGAAATCACTTCCTGGAAAATGTGTTTCGTTGAAAGTGTGCAAACGACACATTCTGTGATATCTGGATGGGCGGGAATAGAGAACCACTGGGCTCTTCTCATTGGCGCGTCCTCCTTCTGAGACCACGAGAGGGAGGAACGCATCAATGAAGTGGTTCATATGATCAGCACGGAATGCGTTCTCAAAGGAGGGTCACGAGAAATGAAGAAAAAAACCTGCCTTCCTGGCCTGTTCATCTACCTTGGTCATGAGTCTGTAGCCAAGCAGGTAATACAGGTACATTACCTAGAACAAAACTTCAGTCAGACTCCCAAACTCTTCCTCGCGCCAGTAACCCTCACCTGGCTCCATCTTTTTCTGTGTCGAATCTTATTCTTGTCCTTGAGATGAACAGTCAGTTTGTTCTTGCCGGGTAGAATGTACTGTAGCCGGCCACCATAGGGAGTAAGGATCTTCTTGGGAGGTCTGAGTCTCATTTGAGTCTGATGAACAGCGCTAAAACAAATTGTTAGGGAGAATTGTAGACCACAGAGCGTGTGGTGTGCAGAACCTTGCAGCTTGATCAACAACTTCGACAATTTGCTTGACGAACTTGTTGATCACCGGATTGCCCGATTCGTCAGTGTCGAAGGCATCGTCAAAAAAGATGTGTGCCTCGAACTCATAGTAGTCTGGATCAATCACCTGAAATTCAGTTGCAACGATAAGTGATCAAGTTGCTTGCCTTGCTTATTTAATCAAGGGCAATTTTCACGCTGGTCGTGTGGGAGGAGTCCGCTCCATCATAGTGCCTTCCTCACTGGCGACCTTTTTATCGTTTCGGAGGACGTGGGGAACGCCTTCAGGTTTTTTGATGCGACTTATTACCTCGACAGACAGACAAAATGGCATAATTTCTGTTATTAGTTGACATTTCCATGTATCAGGGTAATGTATGTCACGGCGATGTACCACCAATGTGAAGATCACGACATCACGCAAGTGAAATAAAAAAAACCCGTTGAATTGTTTGAACAGGTCCCACTCGGGTGAAAGGAGTCTTTGAAAAAAAACCAGTGATATAATCAAGTGCCGTCATTACCGCTGCAAATGAGAGACAAAAGGGCGTAGCAAGAGCAGCGTCTGCACGACAGCACCAAATCTGCGGGCTCAGGGCGTCATCATCGTTGGGCAAGCCGCTTCTGCCTGCGGTCGAATCCACGCCCACCTAACATGCTGCTCCTTATTGCACGATAATGATCTACAGTTTGCTATCGTCGAGCATTAGTCGGGGCGGTTATAGGAGGGCATGGAATGAAGAACACGCGCCACTGGTGCTACAATATGATCGGTCAGGAGGAGAACAGCCGGTGGTAAAGAAAACGCCAGCGCGGTAGACTCAATTCCTTCCTTGCAGCCGCCAACTGATGTTGCCAACTGTAGAGAGGAGGGGCGCGAATGCTGACCACAAATTCAACAAGCGTTGCACTCGAAATGATAAATTTAAGTATACAGCGGCCGGGTACAGGACCTTGGAAATTGCGGCGCTAGACTATCGAATTTTGTCTTCTCCGTGAACGGCACATGCAACTGATTCACCGTAAGAGGAAGAGCGCTGGGGATAAGTGCAAGTGGAGGCAAGAGTGGCGCTAATTCCCTCTCCGCACCGCAGCAGCCAGTAGTTGCGGCGGCAAGCGTTAACTGAAGGGTACTTGTCAGCTCGCTGATCCCACGCGCTCATTTTGCGCGGGCAGTTGTAATTTTAAGTCCCGCATACTGTACCTGAACTTGCCTGTCGTCAAATCTTAATTCACTACTTCAAGTACTTTTGAGCGTTCCGCCTTGCACATTGATCCTCATCCATACGGAAGATACTCTTCAACATACATGTCATTTCATGCGTCGTCTCATGCCACATCGTAGCACATGCGTAGATCTTTGTGATTGCATCTGCACTGCTAGCGCATCTCTGAACCAGTTCTCGATTTCGGGCAGTGTTGCCCCTTCCAAATATCTCACCCACTCACCTTATCAGACCATTCTCCAGTTTGCTGCTGCTCAAGCTGCAGACCGATGGGGGTGGTTTGCTCACTGGACCCACTCCAGGAATCGTTTCATAGGTTAGTGAGTTGTCTTCCTGGTCGAATTCCAGGTCCTGCAAAGTTATATGGGGGTCATTTTGCCTTTCAAATGCCTTTATCAAAGCAAACAAACCTCCGGTCTGATTTTGGCTTTGTCATCTCTTCTTCGATTGAATGCAATAGATTGGTCAACGAACGCACCAATAAAGTATGGAAGAATGAAGAGCCTGGAAATATTGCCTGATTCAGGGCTACCCGTTCTCTTGTTAAACTCGTGGTTCAGCTTGGTGGGGGCACAAATGATACCCACCAAACTTGCACGGGCAGTCTTGTAAAAACCTGTGAGTTCTGTGGCCGAAGTGGCTCACCTGTACTTAACCTTACAAGAGTTTCTACAGGTCTCACCAATGTAAGACCTGTTAGTTAATACGAGAAATCAAAAGAAATTAAGGGAAGTGCAGCATGCCCCCCCTTCCCCTCCTCTGACCGAGCAGAATAGAACCCATTTACATGGAATAAAGCACTTATGCGAGTGGTCCTGAAGCGATAGGTGGAAAACTGGAGAAGGCGCGTGAATGAGGAAAGCACAATGATTATGGGTCGCCACCCGGATTATCACGGTATCGCCTTTAGACCCTTGTCCATCCTGTGAGCTGTACATCTTGCATAGTTTGCTGCCGCGCCCAAGCCATTCTCCTGCGAGGGCAGTTCGGTCGGTGCGCACCGAATGGTCTGTCTCTCAGCCAAGTTTGCCGACCTTGTGGAGACTTGTAGATTCCTATGACCAAAGTAACTCGCAGAATTTCGCAGCTTCAAGGATTTTACAGGTCTGATCAGCGAAAGTGCAGAATGTCCCCTCCAAGCCGAACAGTGCCCCACTGCGTGGAATCGCGCACTTCTTCGCGTAAAATCACGGCTCACTTTACGCGAGCAACGATGCGATGTGAAGTACACTTTACTAGCTTCGCTCTCAGGGGATTATGTATCATTTTTAGTGACAGAAAGTCATCAAGCAATACTAATCAGCAGTACCTAGTGATACAGAGGGATAAAGTAACTTTTAACGATAAAACATCCTTGTCGTAACTCACTTTTCACTTCTGGCAAGTCGCTCGTGTTTCGGAGTCCACAAATGGACAGTGATCCAGCACTGACTTATGAACCAACTCAACCAAATCCATGATTGAGGTGAAGAGAGGAAGGCAGTGAAGGACGAGTACGACGAGAAACACTTCCAGAATAACTCCTGAAACCAAAATCTAACTTCTTTTCAGTTGTTAGCAGGCTTTATCTGAGTTCTATGCGCACATCTCGCTATCAGGGAAGGCGTGACTAGTCCGGTACGGAGTCGGTAAATGGCACCTAGGCGTCACCAGCCCCCCCCCAATCCCGTACCGCACTTTTGAGCGAAGAAA